CGCGGCTGATAGTGTGCCCCCTGGTGGAATTTGGCGGAAGTGACAGGGATTTGCGTAGCGTCCGTGGGAATTGAATGGAGGGATCTGCATAGCGAGGTGGGCAAGGTCCCCTTGTCTCATCTTGGGTGTTGGTATATTGCCCCAATTTAAGAGAATCAAGAAACAAGAAAGAGGTGTTCATTCACTTAGTGATTCAACAGTTTAGGTTTGGAAATACAAAAAGGTTATTTGACGGCAAGTTAAGAGCCTGTTTCTCGTCAGTACAAGGAAGAGTGTATCTTGGATTTGGATTTGGATGGTGGAAGTCTTGAAAGCTTATTAGTTCATTTTGAAACTATGTATTTTCAATTTCAGTTATGTGACGTGAAGTGATGTAGGCTCTGGAGTTTCGTACAAAGAAACTTAGGTTCTAGCCGGGCGTTGGTGGCGCACGCCTTTAATCCCAGCACTCAGGAGGCAGAGGCAGGAGGATATCTGTGAGTTCGAGACCAGCCTGGTCTACAAGAGCTAGTTCCAGGACAGCCTTCAAAAGCCACAGAGAAACCCTGTCTCAAAAAACCAACCCCCTCCCCCCAAAAAAACTTAGGTTCTATCAAGTGTCTGTTTTGAAAAAAAGGAACAATAGCAGCTAAGGGAATGTCTTCTACTTTGCATCCAGGCTTTCCAGGTGTCGTTAGTGAACTTCATCCCTGAAGCATCCTGAAAATGCAGTGTGACACGGGATGGGGGGCGGGGTGGGTATGATAGAACTTAGTAAATATTGGTTCTTTCAGATCTTTCTTGGAAACTTGCAAAGAGCAGGAACCATATTTGTCTTAACAATGCATGGATTCCAATATGTGGAAAAATACTTGGCATGTATTAAGTGTTCCATAAATATTTGTTGAACTAATGACTCATGGTGGCTTTCAAAGAACAAAAAAAATGTAAAGAAAAGTGATGATGAAGTGCAGAGCAAGGCTTTAATATGTGTATAACTGGGTCTCCACCGGATGGAATTATGTTATTTTACATATACTAATAGTTGTATTCACTGTATGTTCTGCAATGTGCTATTGCTAGGTGCACAGGTATTTTTTCACCATATATATTTTATCTTTTGTGTGTGTGTGTGTGTGTGTGTCCCACTGGGTTTAATTAGGGTTGCTTGTGTTAGTGGCTGAAGAGTTATTTATTAGCACATGGATAAATGTGTCCTTCTCTCCTGGCAACCATCATCAGCTGCCAAAAGCTCTTTGGGGGATTTTTTTTGTTGTTGTTATTCAAGTAGTTAGGGAACAAGCTTGTTCACATGTAAGTCCCTTCTCCCTCTCCCTCCCCTCACCCCCATCCCTGCTGCCCCACCCCCAGCCTA